ACCAGTCCTCAGGTCCTTACACTGGCTTCCAGTTATATTTAGGATTGATTTTAAAGTACTTTTACTCGTTTATAAATCACTCAATGGCCTAGGACCTAAATACATAGCAGATATGTTCACTGAATATAAACCTAACAGACCACTCAGATCATTAGGATCGAGTCAGTTAGAAATACCAAGGGTTCACACAAAACAAGGGGAGTCTTCTTTTAGTTATTATGCCGCCCGCAGTTGGAAGCAGCTTCCAGAAGAGATCAGATGTGCTAAAACTATCCACATTTAAATGCAGACTCAAAACTCATCTGTTTAGCTGTGCATTTACTGAATGAGTACTGTGCGATGTCCGAACTGATTGCACTATATTGTATGTATAATCATTTTCTATTCTTAACCGTTTTAAATTCATTTTAAACCTCTTAAATCAAATTTTTTATCATTTTCAAAGTTTTTAAATTACTTGTTTTATTGTTGTGATTTTTTATTTTCTTTTATGTAAAGCACTTTGAATTACCATTGTGTATGAAATGTGCTATATAAATAAACTTGCCTTGACTAAAAGCTAACAGAAGCAGTAGCATTCACAAATAACAGCGCATCTAAAAGTATGAGACAACAACAAACAAAAAACATAGGCCTACCATTAAAAGCCGTGCTTGCACAGGTTCTGCACGATCCTCTTCAATAATATCCTCTTCTTCTCAATCGAGCTCAAACTGATAAGCGATATTAACGACGCCGATGTTTACAATACAACCGGAGCACATGCCGCTGAGGAGAGGAGCGGGACGTTTAAACGCGCACTAGAGGCGGTTTAGCCAATCACAACACACTGGGCTAGCTAACCAATCAGAGCCCATCGCCTATTTCTGAGGGCGGGGCTTCATAAAAGCAGGAAATTATCAGCGCGCTTCTCAGAGAAGGGACAGAGCGGTGTGGAATAAAGGTAAATTATGTGAAAAATAATGTGTTTTTTTTTTAAAACGAAGCATTAACACATGTTAGATTGCACCCCATAAACACAATCAGCCTAGAAAAAAAACAGTGAACCACCCCTTTAAATGCACCTGTGCTCAGAATAATGCGTTGCATTCATGCGTTTGTAAACGTGCAGTGGTTGCACTGATCCCAGATTTAAAACCGAATGAAAGTCTCCTGTTGCGAACTCGCAATCGCGTGCATGTCGACATGCGAGCGCATGCATGAGTGTGAGTCAGTTTGGGTCGGACAGCTTTATAAATCAAAGACACTTTATGGAAAGATTGATTCTTCTGCCCCTTCATCATATCAGTATACATTCGTCTGTCCTCACCACTGTTATTTTGTGTTGCCTTATTGTTATTCATTCATCTTAATATTATTACCATCACCGTTTAATCTCAACTAGCTCAACATGCAGTTCAGACTTGAGTTAAACGAACGGTTTCACAACACTGCTACTGTTTTTGTATAGATCGATGAAATGTGACGGAAACGGCTCCAGTCATGTAGGCTGTACAGTAAACATCAGTGCATCGGCTTGTATATTAACAGCTTCTTCTGAAGCAGCATCTGTGTCTTAACTCAGTGTATGTACCATATGAAATCGGATCTGATTCAGCTGCTGTACATAAGGCTGTATCTGTTGATGAAACACAGCACTGACGCCTCACTCATAAACTCTCTGAAGAGACGCGAGGCAACTTCTACAGAAAGTCTTACTGATGGAGATCAGATCTCGGACTGAGCTAGTCCTTTTGAACTGTTCACACGAGTAAAAACAGTACATATGTATAAACTTTGGAGGAGCTGTGCTAACATTTGAAAAATCTGTTTATGTGTGTGTGATTTTGAAATGCTGACATTTTGATTTTAATAATGACAATAAAAATGCTCTAGACAGAAAAGCGTTTCTGCCTCATTCTGAATAAACACTTAAAATGAAAATGAACACCTGCGTATCATGCGAAAGCAGACAATACGAGCACGCCGACAGAAACGAACCCTCGACGTTGTTCAAGTAGCAAAATTGCTTTGTATTTTTTGCAACAAACTGCACCAACGTTACAGAAAGAATCGACTGAAAACAGGTGATGTGTATTTACAAAGACGAGCAATTAGTCTTCAAAAGTGTGAGGCTTGAATACAAATTAAAAAGTAGTGGCATGATTTTAAGAGAAAAAAAAACCATGAAATGTCAACACTGGTAGTACCATGTTGAATTCAAGGCAGCTTGTGGTTGGCCTGTCAGATGAACTAATACTGAAAACAACTGCATTATTTCAGTTACACAAGCACAACAGACTGGAAAGTTTTAGCCTCGACGAGAATCATGTGGCTTGTGGTCATTGGATAAAGCTGCTCCGTTCACATCCGTGATCCCGGAGCGTGGTGTGTGGAAAACCTTGGAAATGACAACTGAAGTGGTAACTGAAGATCCTTCAGAGGACATTACAAACACATCTATACATGTACTGCATCTTAAGCGCCGATTCTCACTCCCAAGTCGTTCTCCTTGAGACAGTAGTGTGTTTCGTTCACTGATCCGTGATCCATGTTCAGCGAGTCTCTTTACGGCAACTGTGTATTTTCGGAAAGGCGTTTATGTAGTGATTGTGCTGAAGCAACACTTGTTCAAAACCCCTGACGGGCCTGGAAAAGATGGGAAAACCGACTTTACGACTGCAAATGTCAATGTCGCAATCATACAATACGCGATCAGTCGATTACAAAACGAAGTTCCTCAGATCACGGGGATCGTTCACATCTCGCAACAAAGCGCTTTCTTGACCAACCAACCACACGAAGAAAACGAAGCTAAACAGTCTTTATCAATCGTGAATGTACTTCAGAAAATACATTTTGATCCCGTAAAAATGTTTGGAAGTGTGAGGCACATGAGTTGTTTTTCTGTCAGTCATGAAATAATGCTGTTTTTAACAAATACTTTGAGAAAATGCAGAGAGGCCACTGCAAAAAATATTTTCTTGCTTAGTATTTTTGTCGTTTTCTAGTGTAAATATCTAAAAATTCTTGAATCAGGATGCATTTACCTGACAAGTTAAATGACTTAAGATATTTTGTCTTGTTTTCTGAAAAAATATCCAAATTCTGTTTTTTTTGCTTAAAACGATCAAAAATATCTGCCAATGGTGTAAGAAAAATAATATCAACTCAAAGGCTTGACAAGATTATTTTTCTTGCCCCACTGGCAGATGTTTTTACTTGTTTTAAGCAAAAACTAACAACATTTTTTCAGAAAACAAGACATAAGTCATTTTACTTGTCAAGTAAGCATCTTAATTCCAGAATTTGAAGACATTTACACTAGAAAACAAGACAAAATACTAAGGAAGAAAAACATTTTTTGCAGTGAGGAAAGTCAAGGAATTACAGAGACTCAATCAAGTCACTACGACTTGAACCTGGGCTACCTTAAGATCGCCAAGCGGACTCTGGAGGAACGGTTCCCCTGCACTTGTGCACAGTAATAAGACACTGAACCTTTCGGAAACGTTCCTCTATTTGGCATGAGAAAAGCCGAGGTGGCTCACATCACCAGAGAAGCCCCAGACACGCAGATGACACCGGTCGCATCTGTGCTCTTCTCCGCTACCTCTGAACAATGTCACTGATCTCCTTGACGGAGGAAAGCAGCTTTGAAAAGTCTTGAGGCGTGTTGGCTCCCCCGGTGGCGGCGGGGCAGATCTGCAGCTCGCGCAGGCTGCTCTCCAACTTATTGATGGCTTCGCGGAAAGCAAACTTGTTGCGCATCTGCTGGATGGACTCGACGTAGCTCGCGCAATACTTGGACAGATTCTTGCCGGCTTCCAGCACCGCGCTATGGCTGCCGGTCTGCTCCGTAATGCGGCCGATGCCGGCTCGCAGGAGCTCGGTGCTCTCCAAGACCATCTCGCATGTGATGCAGGAGTTGGAGAGCCGCTCTGACGGCTGGCGCGTCTTCCTTAGCGAGCGGCGAGTCGTCATGAGGGGAATGAAGTTGGATCCCGGATCACCGACAGCCGATCCGGTTCCCATCCCTGGCAGCTGACTGCTTGGGGATATAGAAGTCGTCTTTGGGGGCTGCACTTTTGAGGTGGTTTTTGGCACTTTCTTAGCACTTTCTTGGGAAAGGCTCACGCCTTTGCCTTGTTCTGCGGATCCAGGACTTGGAGGGTTGTGTTCAGACGAGCCTTTGGCTTTGGTATCCAAAGAAACGTCAAAAGTGGGGCTCCTCGAAGTCTTTCCGGATTTGCCGCTCGAGACCGGAGGCGGAGGAGGAGCTGGTTTGGGTTTGGCGAACTTCCCCTTCTCTCGGTCTCTTTGTCCAGGGACTTCGGAAGTGTTCTTGAGCCTACGAGGTCTGCATTCGTCTCCTGGAGGTGGAAGCACATTGGGTTTGAACAGCTCCGCTTGCAAGGCGCTCGTTTTGGAGTTTTCCATCCGACGGCTGAGCTTCGGTGTCAGAGTCAAAGGACTTGATCCAGGACTAGACTCCGAGTCCTTAAACACTTCGTCTGGTGCATCTGAGTCGGTTTTCTTGGGAAGGCGCGGTGGCGGAGTAAGGGTGCCACCACGGGGCACACAATCGGCTTTCTTGCGAGGCAGAGCTGGCTTTCCTCCAAAGGTTCCCGAGTCGAAGTGAGACGACTGGATATCACGGGGCAAGGTAACCGACTTCCACTCGGTGCGCTCGGACCCCGGAGGCATGCTAGAGGTGGAAGAAGACCTTAAGAAGCGCTTGGAGTTTGACATGGGGTCTTCTTCTGCGGGTGGAGTCGTGGCAAGCTTCCCTCCCCCGGCTGACGTTGTGCCCTTTTTCCGTGAGTGAGATGGAAGGAGCTGACCGGGATAAACCATGGCTCCATTGGTGACTCCGACAATCGTTGTACTGTTGGAGCCGACCAATTTAGAAGGGTCGATGCCGTCGTTAGTGGAAGCGCCGTTGTTAAAATCATCTCTGCAGTCGGAAGCCAGTCCTCTACGATCCAGTTGCCCATCCATCTTCCCGAAGGAGCTGCTGCGTTTAGGCGGTGCCGGAGCCGTTCTCTTCTTTTTCTTGATTAAACTGAACGGATTCATTCGGAACTTATCTTTATCTTTGGCTAGGAGGCGATCGTCTTCGTTTAAGTTGCTATCTAGGACAGGCCTCAGGAGCATCAGGGGCCCGGTTACCTCGGCCTCTGCTGCGTCTGGAAAGGGTACAGCTTCATCAGTCAGCAGAAACGCAGCTCAGAATTCACTGTGAATGTTGGGAGAGCGCAGCTTACCGGGACTGTCGCCATCCCTGCTGTCCGTATGTCTTCGCAGTGTCCTCGTCTTAGTGGGAAGTTCTGGAGCCTGCTGTATCGGACCCAGTGTCAGCTTCTTACCCTTTTTGCCCAACTCTTTCTCCACCTCTGCAACCCATGAAGAGTGAAGATGAGCCACAAGAAAGTACACGTTAATTTCTCTAAATCTCCAGAGACAGAGTCTCACCGTCGGAGATGCTGGACTCTTGAAACATCGTCTCAAACGCCTGGTGGGTTTCAGCAAAAGAAGGCCGCTCTGCAGGGTTCCACCTCCAACCTAAAGACAGAAACACGCAGGTCAGTCCAAAGGGCCTGTATTAATACAGTTTACAGGGGACTTTTATAAGGTGTTTGAACACGGTGTGCAAAACCAACCAGCCTATAATGGTAAAAATCCACCCAGTCATTTTTATTTTTATAATCCCAATAAATCATAAACAGTCTCTCTGAACACGCAATACCACATTTAGGGAGAAATCCCACCCATTTGTGACGTTCTCTGCCCTATTAGCATAGATACAGCCCTGAGTGAGAAAAACCAGTCCACCTTTACTGTTTTCCTGCTGTAGCTGCTGGAGATACACAATGTCAGCGCCAAAAGTCCTATGTTTGTGCCAATCATTTTACGCCGGACTGCTTCACAAAGGAGGGTTAGTTCAACGCTGGATTTTTGCAAAAGTTGATTCTGAAAGAGGGATCAATACCAACGCTTCGTGCACGACCGTCAGCTCCAAAGCAAGCGCGTCATATTTTGTTTTCCAAATTGCCTCTCTGAAAAAGCTTCTTGGCACTAAGGCTAAAGGACTTGTAAGCATTATAGATAGTTTGTGTTTCTGGTGTAAAACCAAACTTACTTTAGCTTTATTAATTTAATGCTGTATATTGAGTAGTGGACGATGTTAAATCCATATCTGAGGAAAAATGCATTGTTAGTCAGCGCCACCTAGCATGCAGGCGTGAATTAGCAGAAGGCGATCAATCGTTTCGTGTTCGGTGTGAAAGCACTGTTTGTCGGTGATTCGCCTTGCTTTTTCGCTCAATGTGAAATGGCCTTAATGTTGCTAAAGTTACCATCGTCTCTTGTCTGTTTTCACTGGTGCTGCCTTCACGTGCTACCAGAATGATCGTAAATAGGAATGTGGTAGTTAAAAATTGCATATGAAAGCAATGTGAAGTCGACCGCTTTAATTTGTCGAGCTCATAATCACAAGTGGGACTGGGAGAATCCGTGCATCATTCATTCACTCGGTTTTTTTATTTAATATTGAAAATAGAAAAATGTGAAAACGGCTACTTTTTAATTTAAATTTAATTTAATTTAAATTTTTTCCCCAAGAAACGAAAAACAAGTATGAATAAGTATGATGAATGAATAAGCAGCTTGAATATTCGATTTCTACACGTGGGCGGGAATTAAATGCCCCTTTCTGCTGATTGGTCAGCCGAAGATCAAACCGTGCCGTCATCATCACGCATTAAGAAACCGTACACCTGGAGGACTGTTATTAATATTGAAAATAGAAAAATGGGAAAACGGCTACTTTTTAATTTTTTTTAATTTTTTCCCCAAGAAATGAAAAACAAGTATGAATAAGTATGATGAATGAATAAGCAGCTTGAATATTTGATTTCTACACGTGGGCGGGAATTAACTGCCCCTTTCTGCTGATTGGTCAGCCGAAGATCAAACCGTGCCGTCATCATCACGCATTAAGAAACCGTACACCTGGAGGACTGTTATTCTTCCTCGAGGAACTGTGGAAGAACTGATGATGGCACGGTTGATCTTCGGCTCACCAATCAGCAGAAAGGGGCGTTTAATTGACCGTTCGCAAATACATGCCCTCCTTAGTTACTGTTGCTATCCCCGACAAACAATGCTGCTCTCACACTACACACGTTCTCACGCAGTGAAAAATACATCGCAGAGCAAAGAGGAAACTGACAACACACCGACAGACAAGACAGAGCAGGTTACTTCTGCTATGAAACAAGGTCTCAGGACTCTCAGCTTTTAAATTGTGTAATTTTTAAAGAAATTCAAACAATAAATATCGTTTTGTGGCTCTTTAATGTGTCGTGACAGATCGCTGTATTGCCTCAGTTCAAACACGTGAACCGCTCGTCTTTTCATATTTATGTAAAGCACAAAATGAACATGAATAAACAAAGTATTTTGTCAACCACGGAACACAAAAAACGCTTTAAAGGAATTCCTTAGCTTATTGCCGTTTCTGTGGCAGCCTACAACAGCACAGCTTAACCCTCCGCACATTTTTATATTTAGTTATATTGAAAAAGTTTCAATCCAGTCGATCTTTTTTTTACTCCGTTTTAACATGGATTTCTGTGTAGACCGGCAGTAGCTGTCGGAGCTGGCGGATAGCAGCGGCGGCACGTAATATTCGCGTTCTGATTGGTCAGATCGCCTGTCAATCAAGCTCCCTGCGAATGGTCAAATCCCGCCCACGTGTAGAAATCAAATATTCAAGCTGTTTATTCATTTTTTCTACCTCAAATGAAAAATTAAGCTGAATTTTAGTTTTTCGTTTCTTGGAAAAACGGGAAAAAAACGAAAAAGTAGCTGTTTTCTAATTTTTCTACTTTCAATATTACATAAAAAAAAAACAAAAAAAACGAGTGAACGAATGATACACGGATTTGAGAATTTTTTGACATTTTCCATGCGTGAGATTGTCCCGTTTTGTTTTTGCCAGCTCTTAAAGCTCCGCCCTCTTCTGAAAAGGGGGGCGGAAGCACCAGCGCATTTGCATTTAAAGGGACAAACACAAAAACAGTGTGTTTTGGCTCATACCCTTAAAAGTGGCAATTTTAACAAGCTATAAAAAATTATCTGAGGTATTTTGAGCTAAAACTTCACATACACACTCTGGGGACATCAGAGACTTATTTTACATCTTGTTAAAAGGGGCATAATAGGTCACCTTTAATTGTAATCATTTTGTTCAAACACTTGAGCTTGTCTACCTTTAGGTCCTGATCTAAAGAGCTACTTACAGGCCCTCATGAGCTCATAGACTTTCTCTGGGCATCCCTCAGGCCTGTCCATGCGGTAATCTTTCTCTAGTAGCTCGTACACTTGGGACAAGTCGATTCCGGGATACGGAGACAACCCATAGGTGGCGATTTCCCAAAGCAGGACTCCAAATGCTAAAGAGTTCAAGCAAAAATGTCAGCTTTACACATGAGATAACACAGATACATCTCGACCTGGGAAGTGAATTCATTGACTTCTGCTTACCCCACACGTCTGACTTGATGGAGAATTTGTTATAGGCCAGACTCTCCGGGGCGGTCCATTTAATGGGAAACTTGGCTCCTACATGGGCTATGTAGGTTTCTTCAGTCATCAGGCGACTCAGTCCAAAATCTGCCACTTTAACCAAGTGGTTTTCCCCAACTAAGCAGTTACGGGCAGCCAGGTCCCTGAAACAAGAGCCAGATCGTAACTGGAAACGTAATTACTATTACTAATACTATGTTGTCCCTTTGTCCTAGGGCTGGGCGATATGGCAAAACATTTAAATCTCGATTTTTCAGAACGTTTGACCGATTCTTGATGTTTTTTATGATTTTTAACTAGTCAACTTGAAAATGTAACTACAGCATGTAGCAGCACACACGATGTAAATGTTAAACAAATCACTTGTTAAATATCTTTGCAGAATAGATGCATGAACTACAACTACATCTTGTACAAACTTGTCTTATACAGATTATGTGTTCAGAAATAATACAAGGAAAATGCTCAAAATAAAATCTCAAAAGTCAAGGTAATTCAAATTCAAGATGACTAAATATATAACACCAGTAGACTATTATTAACTATACATGTTCTGTAAAAACAACGAACAGCAGCTGTTAGCCTGTCATCATGATGCAAGCATGAAATATCAGTCATACAGTAGTAGTTCTTCACAGGTTTTTTATTCAATTGCGCTGCTTTTCCATTGTTTATTCTATGTAAACATGAATGCATTTGACTGTTGCGCTTGCATCTCATGCATGAAACGGCTTTCTAAAAACACTGCGCTCAAGTTAAAACAAGTTCACTCCCATCTTCTTGCATGTTTTTCCTATTCCTCTGCCTGCGTCGCATCTTTGTCAACACAAAAGCACATTCTGTGTGAATGGTGCCTAGCGATATATTTACAATCCTTCACAGAGCGGTTAATCACGTGCGCCGACATGCGGTTGGATCGTTCTTTTCTCTTTACTGTAATCACCGGCATATTGTAGAAGTGTCTAATTCTAACATTTGGTAATATTTCTATTCAAAATCGCGAGTTCCTCGATTTCTAAAAAATAAACTTGTGGCAAAACATTAAATTCGAATTACTCGATAAAATCGGAAAAATCACCCAGCCCTACTTTGTCCTGTCATGTTTTAGTTCACAGAATGCAATAAATACATTTATTATATGAACTACCTTTGAAGGAGCTGACACATTCTGATTCTTTTTATAGGTCTATTTAAGAAATTGTGTTCAGTTATCTTGCTTGCTTGTTTTAGCAAATCAGGCCGAGAGAGTGACATCACTGCCTATCTAGACAATTTAATTATTGTGCTATAAAACTTGTTCCAACTAGTCACTTCTGTCTGATGAAGCATCACTGAGAGAAAGGCTCAAGGGAGAAACTCGAGCAGTGCACATCAAGCTACTGTGAAGAAGCAACACAATGACTATTTAATAACAATCGACTTCGTTATTACGAACGCAGCTCACCTGTGGATGAAGTTCTTCTTCTCCAGATATTCCATGGCGGAGGAGATCTGCGTGGCCATGTAGAGCAGCACCACAGCATTGACCTCCTCGTGATTACACTCACGCAGGTAATCCAGCAGGTTTCCATGGGTCATGAACTCGGTGATGATGTAAAACGGAGGTTCCCGTGTGCAGACACCTGACATCAGAGAAAAACACGGTAACACTTTACAATAACAGTACATGAATTATCATGTACTAATACCTGAATTAATAATTACTTGACTATGAACTAATGATGAGTTAATAATTCATGTACTGTTATTGTAAAGTGTTACCAAAAACACAGGCTCTTTGTGAAGGAAGCTTCATTTAGAAGCACATTCCTCCAGAACATCACTGGACGATTCATGCTTGATAGACCAAAAACTCACAAACACGCACTGCAAAAAATGATTTTCTTACTTAGTATTTTCATCTTGTTTTCTAGTATAAATATCTAAACATTCTTGAATCAAGGTGCATTTACTTTACAAGTAAAATGACTTGAGATATTATGTCTTGTTTTCTGAAAAAAATAGCCTCTGAATTAAGATCATTTTTCGTACCCCACTGGCAGATATTTTTGCTCGTTTTAAGCAAAAACTAGCAAAATTTTGATGTTTTTATTTAGAAAACAAGACTTAATATCTTTTTACTTGTCATGTGAATGCATCTTGATTCAAAAATGTTTAGATATTTATACTAGAAAACAAGACGAAAATACTCTCGTTTAACTAAGAAATAATATTAAAATCAAGGCTGTTTCTTGTGACCTTCTTCTCTTTAAAATTAGAAATTGCAAACAGCGATGAACCGATGATGATTCTTATTTCATATTAATGTCATCTCTAAACTGAACTAATTTATGAAACAAGTGTGATGTTTAATAAAGGGAGTTTAAGACTTTGTCTTCATCTAGAGTGTTTAAATTTAAAATAAATGTAAATTTGCAAACAACCCTGATTGAACT